CGCCTGTGAATCTCCCGTCAAAACAATGGCCGCCAGAGAGAGGGACAGCCATTCGCTAACCAATGATGTAATCATTTGTTTGTTTCATTCATTAATGCATTCATTAACTAATCGATTGATTTGTGTCCCAAACAGGTGTCCATCTCTCAGATGAGTTGCTTAGTGACCGACAATAGCATTGATTTGATGTCAAAGTTCGCCGACTTGGCCGCACAGATAGTCGACACTAACTCTAAGTCTACTTAATTTATTAACAAAACAATTTTCGCCACACTTTTGGTGTTTATATTATATTTCAATAATATATAAAAGGTTTTCCAGAAATGTGGCCAAACTTTTCGGCAGCTTTTCATTGGAATTAAATTTACTGTAAATAAGATTTTTTTGTAATTTTCAGATTTATTTGTAAATAATTGTATTGACGACAGATTTCTCTCACTTTGAGTTGTGTTTTATTTATTGTAATTCTTATGATTATATTATGAAAACCAATTGTTATTTAAGAGACACAATACTTATTAACATTAAATTTGCGGCTAATTGTGTATACTTTGAAATAAATTATATATTTTTAGCTTAAAGTTATACTTATTTTTAGTGTTATTTCCTATAATAGGAATCTTATTGTACTGTATTTTGCAAAATATTTTAGTGTTTGTGTTATTATACCACAAGAATTTGACGATGTTTTGCATAAATTGATAATAAATAAGATTTAAATAAAAATTGAATTTACATTACATGACAAACATTACAACAAATTCAATATTTTTCTTGATTTACATTAGATGTGCTCTCTCTCCCTCTCTCTCTCTCTCTCTCTCTCTCTTTCTTTTTTGTAAAATTAAATATATTTTTCGCTTATTATTATAATTTTAGTAAAAATTATAGAAAGTGTTTAATAAATACTATAAATGAGAGACAATTCATAATAACGTTATTTAATTTCTGTAATGTTATTTCATTAGTGAGTTATTTATAAATTAGTGAAAGTGATACAAACTTTTACATTAAATTCACTGCAATTTTGTGAAGTCTCTAATGATATGCATAATTCATATTTGCTTTGAATATACAGTGTATTATAGTTTCAAATAGAAAATAATTTTCAAAAGCATTTATGTTTTGAATATATTATTATTAATATTACATTTAATACTCCGTTTCTATAGTTCAGTATATGATAATTAAGGCAAATATGAAATTCAATGTATTGTTAATACAAAACTAAAAATAAAAATTCAAGCAAAAGAATATAATTTGTCGAAAGAGTTGTTTTAATGTCGATTCCCAGACATTAATAGGATTTTGAATATAATTTTTATGCATTTTTCATTAGTAATGCACTAAACATTTCGATGTAATTCCTAACAAACTTTTCGCTAATAATTTAATGCTATTTTATATTCATTTGTCGCAAAAGTCCTTAAAATTAAATTTTTATAAAAGACTTTAATCCGAAAAACACAACAATTCTCGCAATACTAGACGTGACAACTCATAATAGAGTGTTTACTTTTCAAGTAATATATTACGAAAACATTATTTTTACAAAATTATTTAATAAAATTACTGGTCAATCACTACTATTAACAGACAGTGAGGGTTTTCGTGGCTGACATAAACCAAAACACATGAATGACTTTTAGGGACCCATTTTGACAATAATACAAAATTCTGACAATAATTTTGATTCAGAATTTGTATTAATATTTAGAATTGAGTTTTCGTTATAATATTAGATTCTTTGGAAATATATTTTTATTTTTGTGTTTCATTTTATAAAAACCGGATTTTCAAAGGAAATAGTTTTGAAATATAAGTGAAAAATATATCATTTAATCAAATAATGCACTGAATTTGAAGAAAAGGAGAGATTTATTCAAAAAAGAAAGAAAATATTTCAAAAACTAATTCAATGAACGGATGGAAAGAATTTAGTGAAGAATTTCAATCTATTAAACACA